TGCCCCGGGCATTGTCTCTTTGGATTCCCGGGTGATGAAGTCAGAGCCCGGCCCGAGGAGGAGCACGGTGTGGGGGAGGAGGGGGGAAGAGCAGCCAGGAGAAAAATAACCACAAAATCCCTCCGGTCGCAGGCACCCGCCTCGGTCTCCACCGGGGTGAAACCTCAGCAAGGACCTGGAGGAGCTTGTCCCCTCTCATCGGGGACGCCGGCATCCGTGGGGAGGACCACCCCACGCTGCCTGGTACCATGGAACTCTTCCATCAACACAGAGGCTCCTCAGGGAGCTCCTCAGAGTCAGACAGAGCAGTGGCAGCACCGCTGAGGCCACCTCGCAGCCCTGCTCTGCAGCCTGGGCTGCAGGCACAAGCCCCCAGGCAACCCCAGGCACCTGCCCTGGCAGCGTGCTGTCTCCATGGACCAACAGCTCACAGCCGACCTTCAGGGGACTCGCCCGAGTCCCACTGGAGTGGGGAGCATCCTTGGGGTTTCCTCGGGACACTGGAAGTAAGGGTGGAGGGGGTAAAGCAGGAGCCAGACCCCCCAGCTCTGGCAGAGACCAGCGCTCTCCGCAGCCTGGAGGGACAGGGCTCGGAGCCAGCTCCGCACCGGTCCCCGCGGGGAGGAACTGGAGCCCTCGGGGGGCTCACCCTGGTCCCTCAGGTGCCGGGTGGAGCAGGGGTGCAGCTCACTGGCCTTAACGTATCCTGGAAGATGGTGCCGGAGGGTCTCTCCGCTCCTCAGAGAGGACCTTGCTGAGGGCTGGTGGGGCTGAGGGCACAGAGAGGCACGCTCAGCCTGGCTCGCTGAACGCCCTGGGCGTGACGGAGACCGCCCTCCACCCTGCTGCCCAGTGCAGCTCAGCTGGCTTCACCCTTGTGCCGCTCCTCCATGCAGGCAGACCGAGCCCACCACGGCTGCTGCACGTCCTGGCCCCTTGCCTTGCCCGGAAGGGCCACGTCGCCGTGTTCCCGTCACTCTCCGTCAGGGTCTGAGGCTGCCCAGCCTGAGCCACAGCTCTCCTCGCAGCCTGCACCTCTCTCCATCCTGCCTTTCCCTCCAGCAGCTGGGCCGGCCACCCTGGGGACAACCCCAGCACGCCCATCACCTGGGACGCCCCAAGTCTCCGGCGTCCCCACTGGATCCCGCCGTGGTTTCGCATCCCTCCGTGGTTTCACATCCCTCCGTGGCACCGCAGGGTGGAAGGATGGCGGGGAGCTGACGTGTCCGGCGGCTGCGGGTTTGGTGACACCGGGCTACGTCACCCGGTTCGGTTCTGGGAAGGAAGGTTGCTTCTGGGGAGGCGTTTCAACAGAGAGGAGCAGTCAGAGCCCACGTTTGCTCCCCTCTAAGCACGGCTCTCCCTCGGAGGAGGCAAAGCCCACACAAGGCAGCGGGGTGTCCCCTGGCTGTGGTGGCCGAAGGCGAGGACTGACGTGTCGAGAGCTGGGAGACCGTTGGGTTCGTCATACCTGGAGGCAAGGTCACCATGCCCGTCCTGCACTGGTCCCCAAAATGGAGACGCTGCCCAGAGCTGGCTGCACTGACGAGGTGGTGAAAGGCAGCAGAGGGGAGCGAGTCGGTGTTTGGGGCATTGGGGGTCCGCACCCAGCCAGAAAACATCTCGGGCTCTGCTTGGAGAAACTGCTCAAGTTCTGCTGGGTAGATGTTCTCTCCTCCCCGAATAATCATGTCTTTGCAACGGCCTATGATTTTGCAGTAGCCGTGCTCATCCAGGATCGCAAGGTCCCTGCAACGACAGCACGCTCCTAATCCTGTCCCCGCTGGGGGCAAGAAGGGCTGAGGCTCCCACCCAGCCTGGTCTGGAGGCCCCGTCAGGGCATCGGGAGGGTAATGGCTGAGATGCCACCTCAGCACGTGGAAGAGATCAAAAGAGCTCCTTCTACAGCCAGACATTGCCATTGGCAGCGTCCATGCAAGCAGCAGGGCTCAGGGAGAGACAAGGGCGAATGGCTCTAAATTAAAAGAGGGCAGATTTAGATTGGATATTAGGAAGAAATTCTTCACCATGAGGGGGTGAAACACTGGCCCAGGCTGCCCAGGGAAGCTGTGGCTGCCCCCTCCCTGGCAGTGCTCAAGGCCAGGTTGGATGGAGCTCTGAGCAACCTGGGCTGGTGGAAGATGTCCCTGCTCATGGCAGGGGGGCTGGAACCAGATGAGCTTTAAGATCCCTTCCAACCCAAACCGTTCTGTGATTCTGTGATTCCATGAGAACACGTGAGAGGGGCTGTCAGGAAAGCAAGGCAGCAGCAGAAGGCATCCCCAGGGTTAGGTTAAATCCCAAAATAGTCACAGGCTCTCGCACGGCCACGGCCAGACCGTCTGGGCAGGCAGTGACTTCCCTTCCGCGGAAGGACGTGGCTCCTCGCCGAACCCAGCGCGGCAGAGACGTCCTCAGCCGCCCGCAGCCCTGGGCAGCACCTCGGTGGAGCCAGCGGAGCTCAGCAATTGGGAGGGGACCAGGGAGCCATGGTGACACGGGGATGAAGCAGGACTTTTGGTGGGAATACTGAGGTCCTGATCCAAAGCTTTCTGCAGTTAGGCATCGAGCCCTTCTTCCTACTAGGTTTTCAGCTCAGCAAGAGCAACAGCTCTTTGCCGTGGTGTTTCAGTGGAGAAATATCTCACCTTATGTTCCTTTCTCAGGGCTGACCTGGTCAGCAGGGTGCAACGAAAGAAATTCAACCTATAATTTCTTAAGGGGAACCCCGGTGACTCTTTGTACTCCCACAGA